TTTTGAAGCATAATTATGAAAAAAACATATTTTATTTATATCAATCCTTTGCCTTAAATGTCCTTCATTATCCTGTCATCACTATGCGTGTCACTGCATTGTCCAATTATCCAGCGCTCGTCCTCGTCCTTACACCCATGATATCCTGACATTTAACACATATAACATTTATATTTTGCACTAACAGCACCCACGCACATGTATACAAACAATAAAAATAATGTCCTTTCATTATCCTTGTACAATCCTTGTAATCCGTTTTTATGTACCCATTTACAAATGTTTTTTTTTTCTCTGTGTAATTTTCTTTAACGTGTTTTGTTTTGTTTTATTTTGGTGTGGCTAATTTACTTTTTGTCCTGTTTGTCCTGTTTTTTTGTTTTTCACCCCCCGCCACGGGGTTGTTAGCTGGTCTCGGTCGGCGGTCGTGTTGTGGTGGCATTATCAACGCGCCGACATCTAAATAGATCAATTGTGCCGCATAGTACGTAGTACAACTAGCAGAAAACAACCCTCTCACCCTTCACTACTATCAGGGGGTTGATATATAGAATATAGGTATAGGAAGAATATAGGTAGAGACCACCTCGGGTGAGGAGCTCCGCGGAAAGCTAATTTCCGAGGTGGGGTTATGCGAGAGTGTTTTGGTGGGTGCATGTCGAAGGGGTGGTTTTCTGGGGGGCGACACACGTGCCGTAACGAACCGCATAATGACATCGGCATTTCCGCGACACATTTTCTCTCGATTGCCCGGCTAACCGCAGGGAGTTAACGGTGAGTCGGCAGGGGGTTGCATTTGCAAATCAGGTGAATTAAAGTTGCTATTATGCAGTGTTCATTATTCATCAAGAGAAATAAAATCACACAAAGAAAACTAAAGAAAAATTTTTGATTGTGAAACTTCAAAGCGCGATAATTAAGCTATCAATCAATGGATTTTAATCGGATAAAAAGAATTTGATAGGAAATTTAATCTAGTTTCAGAATATATGCATGATGATTTATTTGTTATTGTTTTTAATCTATTTATTTATATTTTTATAAAATTTTGTTTTTTGTTATAAATATGACAAAGGGTTATTAATTAATGAATAACTCAAGAATGCGTTAATAGATTTTATACTTTCCTTTCCTTACTCCAATGAAAGATAAATAAATTCCTAATATAACAATGTTTAAATTGTGTAAATTTATTAATAACTTTGTTATTTATCGTGCTTTGAAATATTGATAATGAAATAATAGAATTTTTAAGTTTAATTTTTTAAACCTTTGTTTAAAATGCTATAACTTTTAAAATAAGTAAAATTCACTAATGATTTTTTACTGTTTTATTAATAATTTATTTCTTCAGCAAAATTTTTTCTACTAATTATACTTTGTAAGTTATTTCCAAAAATGTAAAAAATACAACTTCTCAACTAAAATTCTTAGTTTCATGTTTATCATTTAATAATTTTAAGGTTATGTATCTTATTCAAATTCTGTTTACGTTAAATTAACCCCCATTCAATATCTATCCACCAATATCAAGATATTTGTTATCGCATATAAATTGTAGGAGTTATCATCAAAAATCTAAACAAAACCGAGAATTTATTTTCACTTTTCGGATTTTTCCGCGTGATTTACGAAAGCTCATTTTTTAAAAGAGTGCTTTAGGGTTATTCGAAGGTAGTTCTTTTTTATCTACGCTGTTTATGCATGTCATTGAATGCCTACACTCGTATTTCGTCCTTACATGTATCCTTACATAGTCAAAGATATGGGCCGCGGATATAAGAGATAAAGCTCTAGGAAAACGGAAGTAAACGCGCACGCAGCCGTAGGATAATCGAAAGCACACATTTTCAACAAACGCACCCACAAGCTGTGAATAACAACCCCTAAACGCCCATCGACGCATAAAAGCTCAGGGACGCAAAGCTCTCCAACACTAAACATGGAAATGCTAGCAATTAAAGCTTTTAACTTGGATTATATGAAATTATCCTGTTTATCAATTGGCGTTTATTTATCGCCATCTTGATATAGTATCAGATTATACTAAAAAGAGAGCTTTCAAGCTTTATTTAGAACATTTATGAGGAAAGTTTTAGGCTGGAAATAGGTTTAAAGCAGAATTAAAAATATGTTATTAAGAACAGAGGTTTTAGTCCATTTTTCTTCGGTTTTATTGTCCTGTTTAGTCCTGCGCGCTTTTTTGGCTCGCCGGCTATAAGCAGACACAACATTTTTAATTATCCACGCGCGCTTGCCAGCCTGGCAGACGTTTATTGTCTCCCGTTTTTCATTTTGTTGTGAGTAACACACCAACACATGCAGGGCCACAACACATTTTCTAGTTTATTCACTTCTATTCATTTTTATTCTGGATTATATATTCATGACGGTTAAAGAAGATATTTTCAGTAAATTATTTAATTTTAAGACATTATATGTCAATGGTGGAAATGTAAATTGAAGACTTTTAATCAAAAGTAGCAAAATTAATTATTTTCTTGATTTTTGGACTTATTTTGTGCTGATTTGATAAATAATGATAATAATTTTAGTTTAGAGAAATTAAATAAGCTATTAATGCAATTTAGCGCCATCTAGATTAAAAAAATATGACTAAAACTATGATTAAACCATAAAACCAACTTTCATCCCTTATTTTACACCCTTGCAGTTAAATTTTTGCAACAAAAAGTAGCCTATATTATTTTCCTTAGTCTAAAATATCTTCATACCAAAATTTATCAAAATTGGTTCAATGGTTTCTGCGTTAAAGCGACACAAACAAACAAAAAACTCAAATTTGCATTTTTTATATTCCAAAAAATCAAATAAACAATTTTTATGCTTTATACTCAATAAAATACCACAATAAACCTATTTTTCTTCCCTTTTTATAAATTTTTCAATATCTTCTAATGCTGTCGAGACTATATATTCATTTGTGTTTACTACGATGGTGTGCGCCTTGCTCTGTTCGTCGATACCACCGCATTCAACGGTCTGCTTGCTCTATTATTAAAATACAGTTGTGAATGTTCGGTCGTTCATTCGCTCTAAGTTTTCCACGCGCTAAGCTCATTCGATTCTTCGGATTAATTTGGCACGCAAGACGCGAGACTTCTCTGACTAATTCCGCTAGGACCGGCGCTTTTAAGTTGACTGTGAGGTGCCCAGTCGAAGTCCTAGTCGAATTAAAAATACTCGAGGCGTTCGCAGCTTGTAAACGAATAATAGCCGGTGGTAATGTTAAAACGTGACCGTATTAAAAATTTGTGTTTGTTATATGTTAAGAATAACGGTCTAAAAATGATAGAAATATGTTTTTTGGAAGGTTTTTATTGATAACTCAGAAACTAATTGGAATATTTTAATTATTTTTAACACACATGTAGAGGATTAGTTTGTGAATCAAATTATGAAAAAATTTTGAGAAAATTTTAATTATTAACAAAGTTATAGTAAAATTAGTAAATGAGTCAAAAATAATTAATAAATTAACTTTACTAGCTAATAAATAATTATACAAACGTTTAATTTGAAATACTTTTATATCATTAGATGTAGAATTTAATGCTTAATAGATTGTTAAAAAAATAATAACAATATCTTTAACCGTTCTCAAGTTATCCAATAAAAAGTAAAAAATTACATTTTCTGTAAAGTTTAGACCGTTGTTCTTCAAAGTAACTTAAAATCATATCCACTCTTAAAAAAACAAATCCAACTCTGTACAAATAATTGTAAATAAATGCGAGCAGGAAATAAGAAATAACACAGCTGAATGTGTGAATATTGTGAATGTTTTCCGTGAAATGTGGCGTGAAACGTTTTGTAAAACGCTTGAAATTAAGTTGTTGGCTACGGATTACTTTTACTTCGGATAAATTTGTCGACTTTACATCATAACCTATTCTCAAACACATGACGTCATCTTTAGAGAGCTTTCACCTCAACGATATTTATATTACAACAAAAAAAATCAAAATAAAAATTTTTAAAAAATTCAACAAAAATATTTGATTGCAACAGCTGTTATAAAATGAGCTTTCAAGCTCAACATAGATGATGACGCGGTGGAAGACGTCATCGACCGAGCGTCTGATGTCGTAAATAGAAAACGTGTCCGTGGTGTCCGTCCATCTGCGCGCGCGCCCGCACATAAATAACCGAGCTTTTTGCCTTTTGTCGTTGTAATGCAAAAGGCGCAACTGCACCACGCCACCATGATGAAAGCTCCTCGCGCTGACGCTCCAACAAAAACATGTGATTTATATACGCGCGCGAGCTTTGGATATTTAAGAAAAACCCATATGTGCAAAAAGCTCATTTCGGAGCTTTCGGAGCTTTCGGAGCTTTTTGAACAAAATTGTTTATTATCACAAATATAACATATATTTACTTATATTTTTAATTTTTGAGCTTTAAAGCTGCAACTTAACCTAAGCTAACTTTACCTTGACTTTTGAGCTTTCGAGAGCTTTTCAAAGATGATTTAAATGTTGCAACAGTCAAGACGTTCATAAATTTTATCCACTCTCACAAAGCACTTGACCCAATTTATACAAAAGCTCGATTTTTTTCGCACACTGAGCTTTTTCCGTTCACTTCGCCACGCGTAGGTGAGTAAATACGAGTACGTGCACAAAGTTATTTTCGGTTCTCAATCAACCAACATCGCGGCCGTGCGGCGCGTCGACTGTCTGTGTCTCTCGCGCGTAAGCTTCAAAAGCTCCCGCGCTCAGCATGCAAACGGATGCATATGTGAATGAGATGCGAAACTGGCGAAACTTTTGCGGGGCGAAAACGTGCGGCTAATCCTAGGCAGCTTTCCTTTCGGAAAAGCTCATCAGTCATTTGTGGAATTTAAGCTTTTTTAAGCTGTCTCATTGGAAATTTTTGCGGATTAGAGGTTTTAACAGAATTAGCAAGCAAATTTGCTTGGTATTAATTGAGTATAAACGGATGTATTAATCTCTTGTGAATTATGAATGGCTTACCGTCTTTTCGATAGTAGAGTATCTCGGCGTGCTTTTCGACGCCCTCGTTGAGGGCTTCGCGGAGGCCGGCGACGCTTTGTTGGGAGGTGAGCGGCCCGCAGAGGAACTCGCAGGAGGCGGGACGTTGCATCACCTCGGCGCGCGAGTATCCTGTGAGGCGGCAGAAGCCGTCCGAACAGTAGATGATGTGGCATTGTCCTTGGCGGCTGTTTGCGACCAGAAATGAACGATCTGGAAGCAGAAAATATGGGAAATATGTTTAGTAATAATTTTGTTAAAATTGTTGTAACTTTAAAACTGTTGAAGATAGAAATAAAATTTTTACATTAACATACTCTTAATAAGTCCGACTATCCGTTTATGTACATGTAAGGTTAATTAAAAGTTTCGTTTAGGCGTAATTAATGATTAAACTAGCAAAAATTTTAATAAAATCTCATTTTTTGTGTCAAAACTGTTATAAAAATTGTTATAACTCAAAAACTAAAAATAATATAGCAATAATTTTTGCACCAGTAGATAGATATATTTAAGGACTATAAGTTGCATATTAAAAACTTTTATAAAATAGTATTATTTAGTTAATAATTTACAAAAACTAAAAATTTATAAAACAAAATAAAATCTACTTTTTATAAATTTTTATTAAAAATCGTTGTAACTCCGAAAGTATTGAAGATAAAAATGTCATTTTTACTTCAGTTAAATATTCATTACTTAAACTATAAGTTGATTTATATTCAAGTTTAATTAAAAATTTAGTTTAGACGTAATTAATGATTAAACTATGAAAAATTTTCATAAAAACCAATTTTTTGCTTCAAAATTGCTATAAAAATTGTTATAACTAGAAAACTAGAAACAATATAACAATAATTTTCGCACCAGTTGATTGATATATTTAAGGACTATAAGTTGCATAATAAAAACTTTTATAAAATAGTATTAATTAGTTAATAATCCACAAAAACTAAAAATTTATAAAACAAAATAAAATCAAAATTTTTAGAAATTTTTAATAAAAATTGTTGTAACTCCGAAAGTATGGAAGATAGAAATGTCATTTTTGCTTCAGTAAAATTTTCATTACCCAGACTATAAGTTAACTTATATTTAAATTTAGTTAAAAATTTAGTTTAAACGTAATTAATGATTAAACTTGCAAAAATTTGTATAAAATCTAATTTTTTGCTTTAAAACTGCTACAAAAATTGTTATAACTCAAAAACTAAAAATAATACAACAATAATTTTTTCGCCGAAAGATAGATATTCTCAAATACTATAATTAACATAATAAAAACTATTATAAAATAATATAATTTACCCTAAAATCCAAAAAAACAAAAATTAATAATTTTAATTTCATTTTTTCTCAATTGAAATTTTTGAACAACTCGTTTATAAAGTTTGATCAATAAGCACAATTAACAATGACATGACCTGACAAACAAAGTGCATGAAGTGCACTTCAACACGAAACGTTTGTTGTCCCATTGCGCGCTCTCGTCCTCGTTCTCGTCCTCGATACGTAAAGCACACACATTTCATTTTAAAATGCCAAAGAGAAAAAAACACAAACGAGAAAAACTTTCAAACCATAAAGCAAATTCAACTTTCGGCACGAGTGAAAGGAAAGAAAATTGAAGGTAAATAAATTTTCCGGCGTGTCATTGTGTATTTTCCACGCGCGAGCTTTTTTTCGTCGTGGAAAACTTCGAAATGACGTGTGCGTGATTTTTCAATTCATTTCTTTCTTGTCATCGTCGTCGTATATTGCAATTTATCATCGGTATATCAATAACATTTTTCACATTTTAACCTAACCTAAAAATGTGTTTAGTTGAAGTTATTACTCACTAGATGGCGCTGTAAATAAAAGTTATTTTTGACTGTTTTTCGTAAAAAAATTTTTTAACTTTTTTGCTTTATTTTCATTAATTAACACCTCAAACGTGTCAAAACCTTCACTTTCACACGCACACAAAAGTTTTTGGCATGAATCCGCATCCGTTATCCGTTATCACTTCTTTTGCCACCCTCATCATCGCTTTTGTCCGACCGTGAAAATTCACCTGCGTGGATGAAGTGCCTACCATGTGCCACCATTTTGATTTTTTGTATTTTCGGCGGTGGTCACACCGAGGCTTCTCATTTATCATTCACACAAAGAACGCCAACGCCGACGGAGGGAAAAAAATAAACGCGTTTCGCGTTCTGAAAATATGAAAAAGGTAGAAATGTGAATTGTGGAAATGAGGAAATTCACGACTTGTGGAAAGTATAGTCCTCAAAGTAAAGAGTATAAAGAGGCCATCAAAAACGACGAGCTGGCAAGCGACGCAAAGTTACACGCGCCGCACAAAGACTCAAGAGTCGTGGGGCGGCGGCAAAGCGGAGAGTACTTGAGGCGTCAAGGATTAGGAAAGGATTAACTGCTTACAAAAACGTAAAAAGAAAAAATGTTTGTGTTTAATTTCACACATTTAACCTCAAATGTCAAATGTCAAATGTCAAAATATTCAAAATGGCGTTCGGTTTAATTTTAACCTCTAAAAATTGAGTTTTGAGCACATCACGCGATTGTCATTACATGACGATTATTACTTGCTTCAACCGCCCCCCTAGGAGGCATAAATTCTGAGTTTCTGAGCATACATTCAACATTAGCACACCATTTCGAGCATTCTCGTGTCCTTCACGGCGTCCCCGACAGAAATAATGACGCGCACACTAAACCGCAATAATGACGGCGGCGGCAGTGGTATAAACATCGCACAATGCATTCGCGCGCCACTCGCCGCCACTCGCCGCCGCCATGATTGACGTTATTCTTCATGTGCGCGCACGCGCACACAAATAATACAAAAAATGGAGAAATGAACGTGTGCCGCGTGCAATCATCATCGGAACGGCCTCGCGTTCCATCATTCCGACACGATTTCAAACGCCACTCATTACGCGCACACACAAACAAAAAAGTGGAAAAATTGTTGTGGAGTGTGGGTGTAACATGTTTAAAACATCATTTGCGACTGATTCATCATTCCGGACGTGGAATGACGAACGAATCCTTCAAATTTGATATTAAACAAACAGAAAACAAGTTTTTGTACTAATAAAGAGGAATTTGGTAGTTTTTGGAGGTTATTTTAAGTTATGAGAGGTTATATTGTAAAATTTTTGTTTTTTAAGGTTATGTTACATAAAAGAAGTTTATGATGTGTTTTAAGCTTAAAAGTCACACTTTTATGACAGTTTAATAAAAATCTTTAAAATATTGTTAAAATCAAGATAATTTCCAGGATAGTTAAAAATTTATTACATTTTTATTGTTTATTGTGGTTAATAAAAATTATAATTGATTTAAAACAATCGTAAAATTAAAATTTTACCGTGAAAATGTTTTTTACTTAATTTTTTTTTTATTTTTTTTTTTTTAAGTTTTTATATCAAAATTTTCATTTTTATTTAAATAAAATTTTGTATTAATCTAAAATTAAATATTAATATTTTAATATTCATTGATAAATTTTATTTTTCTTCAATATTTTGTTTTTAATTAACGTTTAAAAGTAAATTTTACTTTTTTCCATATTTCTCTAAAACTAACGCAGCTGTAAAACGAAAAAAACTTCTACATCTTTCCCTTTGAACTTATATTTGCATCCACATAGCAAAAATGGAATAAATTGAATTTGTTCCAACAAAAAATACAAAAATAAAAAGAAATAAAACACAATTCGCGTCGAAAGGTAGAAACGCGAGTAAAACGTTTGTGCGAAAAGTGCAGAGCGGAATGTTTCTTAAAGTAATGTAAAGCGGCGAAAGAAAGATATGCACAGACGAAGGAAAAGTCGAGGAAAAGTGCACGAGAAAGCGTATGGAAAATGGAAATTATCGATCCGATGGCGTTGGCGCACGTTGGCGTCGACGGCGGCGGTAGCGACGGCGGTGTGTGTCCGGCAGGCGGGCGTTTATTTCCCGTATTTGCAGCGGGCGACGTTTCCGAGTTTGCCGAGTTTTCCGACTTGCGATTCGCGCCGTGGTGGCGGTACGGTGCGTTCATTCTCGTTTTATACTTTATACTTTTAACACTTTATAAATGATTCTTTTTATGTTTGGTTACGCTTTTCACGGGGGATACGTTTCATTGATTGTGAATCAATACCTTTTTCATCAAAATTTATCAGGTTCAATCATTAATCAAGTTTTATCACACTTTTTTGTGGTTTTGAATATTATACCTTTTATATTCTTTTTAAATGATGATAAATAAAAAGCTAATTAAGATATACAAATTTTGTAAAATGGTAATTAAAATGTGATTATTAGAGAATATATCCTGAAAGTTTTATTAAATTATCTTTAAAATTATGGATTTTATGACCAAAAAACTAAAGTAATGATTTTTAGTGAATTTAGGCAAGTTTTTGAATTTGGAATATTTATATTCGGTTTTTAAATGACAATAAATAAAAAACAAATTTAGATAAACAAATTTTGTTTAAGGTACTAAAAACATATTTATTGAAGAATATATTCTAAAATTTTCATTAAATTATCTTTAAAATTATGGATTTTATGAAAAAAAAACTAAAGGGATGATTTTTGTAGATTTTGGTGAGTTTTTAAAATTGAAAAATTTATACTTGGTTTTCAAATAACAATAACTAAAAAACTAGTACAGATAAATAAATTTTGTTTGATGTTAATTAAAATAGAGTTATTATAGAATAAATTCTAAAAAGTTTATTACTCTATCTCCAAAAGTGTAGATTTTATAATTATAAAACTAAATCAATAATTTTATATTTTTTAACTAATTTTTTAATTTAAGAAAATTATTTTCCGTTTTATAATTGTCAATAAATACAGAATTAATTAAGATAAACAAATTTTGTTTAATGGCAATTAAAATATAATTATTAGACTATATATCCTAAAAATTTTATTAAATTATTACAAAAATTATGAATTTTACAGCCAAAAAACCTCAACAATGATTTTTTAATAAAACTTCAACTGTATATCATTATAAAAATCATAACCTATAAAATACCACATAAACCTATACATCAAATCAAAGTTTAAGAACAACTTTATCAATAACAATAAACAAAATTTAATTCTTTACAATAGTTACCGTCTAATTCTCAATTTAAAAATATATTTCTACTAAAATCAAAATTACAAAATTAAAACCCTTTTATTCTCAGTTTATTCTTGAGT